TCTCTCTCTCTCTCTCTCTCTCTCTCTCTCTCTCTCTCTCTCTCTATACTATATATATATATATATATATATATATATATATATATATAGTCAATCCACTTAACTCCTAGTTAATTCTTAAGGTGCTTGACAAGATAAACATGGCTCAAACAAGTATGTGGGTCAGCCAACAAAGTTGAAACAAACATGTTGGTGATGGAAAATTCCTCAAGTTCTTCAGATATGTATGCTAATAGGGACTGTAGAAAAACAAAATATTTAATGATCCAACACCTTAAACTCCAGTCCAGCTTTCCATGTGATCCACTAATTCTACATTAATAGCCATTTCAATTGAACCTCAATTTTCTACCCAAATTTTCTTTTCATGTCAACACAACATGTCGTCATTAGACAAGAAAATTTTATTCAAGATTTTCTCCTTTCTATTCTATTAACCACGAATTCCTAGAAACCTCCTACTTCAGTTGCAAGGAGACAAATCAAACAATAAATAGGAATCATAAATTTGAACTGCACATAATCCATCCCAACCCGCAAAACAGAGAGGTAATGTCAATGATCGATGAATTGATTCGATTAACGAGCTTTTTGTCAGAGCAGTTGCATCAGAATCAGGATCAAGAGAACACCAACCTCTTCCTCCACCTGATCTGCTCAACGCCACATATATCAGTAGAAGCCTCCTCGATGCCCACCCTGTTAAACATTTTCCGTTCCACATCCATCGATATTCCAACATACAATATGAAAATCCACTTCAAGGCAATCCGATAAAAAAAAAAAAAATCTCGCACCCAGCAGTGGGATCCATGTCGCATAAGCTCTCGATGGCGCAGCGAAGCTCGCCATCGGATCCGCTGCAATCGATCCAGTGGTCATAGAGGCAAATCTACCGATCGTGAAGAATGGGACGCAAATACGAGGTGACAAATAGTAGGGCCATGGGCATGACAACGTTATGGTACCGTAGAGACGGGACTTCTGTGAAGTCATCGACCCCTTGCTCTCATAAAGGGAGAGCGCTTGGTCATGAAAGGGGTCGAGGAGGTGGAGAATACAGAGGCAAATTCTAAGCATTGAGACATAGCTAAAGGGTAGAGGCCAGGAAACTTCGTAAGACCGGTGTCAACGAGCTTCTCATCAAGATAGCAAAACGTAGAGGACTTCGAGTTGATGCAAGAGTGCTCAACTATGGAACGAAGTAGGCAGTACGGTGCTGTTCCTGTGCGACTCGGAGGAGTAGGCGACAAAGATGATGGAGAAGACAGTATAATCCCAGAGATAACCAAAACTACTAGAGAACTGCTCCAAGTTAAGGTGAAAACTTCCTACATTCTAGAAGTTCAATAATATTGAGAAGATGAATCACAGTAACTAACTCAAAGTATGGAGTGTAAACACTTCGAGTGCTTCAGAAGTGTGAGCAAAGAGTGAGTGAAGACTAGTAACCAGCTTGATGCATGGAGTACAACTCTCAAGAAGGCAGGCGAAGTCAAGTAACCTTTGTCTTCTCAACTCTTAAGAGAATGGACAAAATCGAGTACCTCAATTCTCTTATCTATCCAATAGATGATCTTTGCATAAGTTCAAAGACCATTCGAAAAAACCTATTAGAAGATAATATTTATCAAATCCTCACCAATGGTGATCAGTGCTACTGAGAGTAGATTATCTGCTTCATTTCCCAACAGAATACCAATCGAAAGCGGAAGTAATGCGAACCTATTTGGAAGTGACAACTAAGTGAAAGAATAGTCGATGGGCAAATTTTGTGGATAAATGACCCAAAAACTTAAAAAGTTTGCGAGGCGATGCTCATTAAAGCTCCAAGATGCATCCATCTGGTTCAAGTGACATGAGGCATTTGAGAGACTGACACATACTAAGGATGGTCTTTTCCTTTATTTGAAGGATCCGTAGGAACCACAATAATGATCAACATAACTCATCCAACCCCGCACCAAAGTCAGAATCATTGGTGATTTGAAGCAGTATGGCGGATTAAAAGTTCGACTACTCAACAATAGTAGCTAAGAGCCAAGAGGCACATTACAGCTAGAGCAGAAGATTAAAGACTCAACAAAGGCGAAGAGTTACAGCGTCGGTAAAGGCTTTGACGAGGACGTCAAAGAAATAAGTATGGGAGAATATCATAGACAAAATTGTAAATGAGGTGTTTGATGTAATGTTTATGTATGTCCATGTCTTTTGGTTTGTTCATGCTTTGCACAACATGTAAAGAGACGGTCGAAGGCTTAACAGCCCCATTTTAGTTAGGTTTAGTAGTCGTTTTCAGTTTGTAAATAAAGGTTGTGTCATGTGTGTTGAATCTCATATTTTGATGATGAAACCAATTGATAGTGTTTGTGATTTGATCTGCGTTTTGAGTAACGCAGGATGCTTCGATCAGGGAGAGACAATTAAAGCAGGAAGAATCATGTTGGGCTGGAGAAAAACATGTCAGAAGATTGAACGTCGAGCCGAAGGATTGGTCAACGTATCGGCAGAATGCTTCGGGCATCGGGCCAAGAAGAGAGAAAATTGTACCAAGTAAATCAGAGTTGCGGAGGTCAACTGACCGATTGGGCAATAGGCCACAAGAGAGTACGATGCACCGAAGATTTGGTTGAAGTGTTAATAAACCAATGATATGTCGGACAACACTTGATTTGCTTTGTAATAATTATCTAGATCGAAGTAGATTTTATGTGTGCAGGATTAACTACGACAGCAAGGCATAAAGAAAAATAAAGTCCCGGAGTCAAGAACGCGATTTCGTTGGGAGTTCGAGAGTTCGTCGAAAGTCCGGACATTCGTCGGAAGTTCTGACGAAATTGATCGCGAAGTCCAGGAGCTTGCCAGGAGTCCGTTGGAACATTGCCAAGAGATCGTCGGAAGTTCACCGGAAGATCGTCGGAAGAAACCTAGACTTACGGACTTGTTTAACTTAGTAAATGTCTTGAATTTCGTAGTTAGCACATAATTGGGATTAGAATTGGGCCAACCCAATTAGGGATAAGTTGGGCCCATATATGGATTGTGTTGGGCCTAATAAGAGGCCCAAACAGTGACCCAACAGGTGGTATCGCCCAGACACGGTCTTCGAAGCAATGGTACCGCCAAACTGGGTGGTGGTACCGCCCAATGTTAGTGCTACAAGCGGTGGTACCGCCCAACACAAGCCGTGGTACCGCTAGGACCCGGGAAACCTGGGATGAGACATATATTTTTAGGCTCCAAGTTTAAATCAACTTGAGGCCTATAAATACCCCTCTCATCCCTGGTTAACATACACAAGAATTGAGAGTGAAAAATAAAGAAACGCTGCTATATTCTTGTGTGAACTCATCTCAAAAATCTTAGTGTTAGAATAATTTAAGAGAAGAGTAAGTGTGGGTGTAAGGGTTATCTCCTAAACCTGGTAAAAGTAGAAATAGCTGTAAAAGGTGTTTGGTCTTCGCCTATTGAAGGAAGACCAAAAATGGA